TAGCTCAAAGTTGGACTAGTAGTGGTAATGACAAATTAGATGAAATAATCAGAAATACACAGCTTGAAGCAAAAGGACTTGATAGTTATCATTATCTTGAATGGATTCCTTATGACCAACTTGCAGTTGAAGAAGGAATAGGTGAAGGTGATTTTGCAATTGTGTACAAGCGTTAATGGTTAAATGGTCCTAGATATATTAGTGATAATGGTAGTGTAGCATTAAAAAAATTTAAAAACTCTCAAAATATTTCTGATGAGTTTTTAAAGGAGGTAAATAATTTGATATAATTAATTGATAATATATTAATTTTTTATTGATTTTCATAAAGCTTCAAAATCACATTAAATTTATAGGACCTTATCACAAGGGTGTTGCTAATATATATGGCATTTCACAAGATCCAAATACAAAAGAATGTGCTCTTGTAATGAGATATGCAGCTGAAGGAGATTTTAAAAAATAATTAAAATCAAATTATGCAAGACAGAAAGGATGGAATGATAAAATTAAAAAACTTTATAATATTACTGTATTTCAGGTTTAAAAACACTTCACCAAGAAAAACTTATACATTGTGAGATCAAAATTCCGCATCTCACACAAATCTCTTGATTTTTATTTATACTAATATTTATTCCGTTTTCTGGCAGTATCCAATTATTTAATTCTTTGATTACTTACTTTCTTTCACTATAGTGCTCAAGCTATTTAATTATTTACAGGGCAAGTTTTCTTACTTCCCTTCCGGTAACGTTTTCTCAGCAGTTGCTATGTTTGCTGCCTGAGCCAGAACGTGTCAATTATTATCTCCTCCGATAATAATCCCAGTATCCTCCTTGATACCGATGTGTTGTGTTTATATAGATGGTTCAGTGTTTCTAACTGACCGCACCTAGCTAGTGGTTCCTCTGTTTAGGCATTGGCCTAATCTAAGAATAAAGAAAATAAAATTAAAGAAATATATACAACTATACTTATCAAAGGCGTCCCCCTGGTAAGATAGTAATTAAT